AAAGAAAGAAAGAAAGAAAGAAAGAAAGAAAGAAAGAAAGAAAGGTGAAGTTTATTTTGGCTCACAGTTCTGGTCCATCATGTAAATGTCTTGCTGGTAGAATCCTTAGACAACACGAGGCATTACATGGCGAGATTCAGGGAGTGCTTGTACCATGGTCTCTCTTGCTCTTACAAAAACCACCAGTATTCTATCATGAAGACTCCACTCTGATTACTTTAGCTTAGTTTAATCTCTTCCCAGAAGCCCTGCCTCTAAGCATAACAGTTGGGTTATGTTTCTGCTCCTTTAATACCTCACAGCAGGGATTAGATTCTAGAATGAGTTTTAGAAGGAACAAGCCAGCTTCATATCATCAGAGCATAAGATAAAAATATAAGGAACTAGACAATTTGCTTGTAAAAGACATGATTCATAAGAACACATGAAACAGAAAAAATGATGGCTGTTTTCACATTCACTGCTCTGACCTGAAGGAGCCAGGTGCAGTTCTCCAATAGCACAGGCTCTCCTGAGCTCCACCCAAGTTCAGAACCCCATTCCAACACTTAACAGCTATGTGAGTTCTAACAAGATACTGTTTCTATATCAGTTTATTCTAAGATGAAAAAAATAGTGAGACAATCTATGCAATCATCATTTACCAAGTGCTCACCATTCCATAAGCATACTGGCTATTAAGATGAGAAAATATTAATTCATTATAGCTTCAAATACAGACACTAGAATAATGAGAAATTTCATTATAACTTAGGTGGGCGCCAAAGTTTCTTCCTACAAAATATTAGGGCTTGTATACTACAAACAAGATAGTTTGCACTAGCTGACCCTGTAGAGGAAAATATAAAGAAAGTTTCATGTTTTTGCCCTTTTGCCTTTTCTTTCCAGTTGGCAGAAAAGACAAAGAGGTCACAAGCAGAAAGTTGGGTTATGTCCAGTGAATTTAGACCCAGTCCTACCAGACAATTCCTCAAGGGCATGATATAATGAAAACCATCCAGTAAAAGAAAGAATACAGGAAAATGTATATATTCTCACAGAGACAGATTTTATACCATTTTCTGCTTACTCATTACTATTTAAAAAGCAGCTAAAAATCAACAAATCGTAGACTATATTGCTAATGCTCTCTATACATATGTTTAATGACTCATTTAAATTACACTTACGGGGCCAGGGACTGCATTTTCTGTTCAGTAGCCACAGATGTTTACACACTTGCACAGCCCCCAAACAATGAAAAGAAGTACAGCTGCATTGGTTGCATTCCTAGCATCAAAATAAATCTCAATAAATTGAAATCAACATAAAAAAAGAGAAGCAATCTATTTCTAAAGAAAAATACAGATAGAGGAGTTTCTAGAACCCAAAAGCAGAGGTTAGGGGTTGTGCTGGATAGCTTTAGTGTCAACTTGACACACCTGGGTTGAGGGATCCTCAATTAGGGAGTTGCCTTCATTAGACTGGCCTGTGGCCATGTCCATGGGGCACCTTCTTGATTGTTGAGTGATGTGGGAGGACCCAGCCCACTGTGGGTGGTGCCACCCCTGGGCAGGTGGGCCTGTGTTTCATAAGAAAGCAGGCTAAGCAGGGGCCAGGGGAACAAGCCAGTAAGCAGTGATCCTCCATGGCCTGTGCTCCAGCTCCTAACTCCAGGTTCCTGCCCTGAGTTCCTACCTTGGGCTCCTGGATGAACTGTGACCTGGGACATGTAAATTAAATAAACCCTTTCCTCCCCAAGTTGGTATTGGTCAGAGTGTTTTGTCACAGCAGTAGAGAAATAAACTATGACAAGGGTATAGTTCATTAGTAGAAAAGTACTGTACCAAAACCTTGGGTTCAATCAACAACAGCAGAAAACAATAAAAAGAAGTAAAACCCAAGAGCAAGCAAAAATCAATCAATGCATTTTATTACATTTAACACTTTAGAACACAATTTCAACATTAGATAGGCTACAAGCTAGGTCAAAGACCTATTTTCTTTGATGTAGACATATTTTATGACACAAAGAATGTAAAAACGAACAAGTGGCAAAAACAAGTTAAGTGGGAAAAATTTAGTTTTCTATATATAAAAGATGATTTACCTCACTTGTAACAAAATAAATGTATATTATAGTGAAAATGAAAGACTTTCTCATCTAACAGGGCTGCACATAAATCCTATTTGGTAATAGAACGTCGTACTACAGATTATGCAATGCACATTTTATCAGTGATAAAAGTACTGAACGCTCTGAAAGACTTGTGTTCCTCAACACCAGAGGGCAGGAAAACACATTTTATTTCACCCAGCAACTGATGTATTTACCCAATAATGATGTTATTTGTGCATAAATATGAACTATGAAGACATTCTAGACTACAACGATAGAAGAAAACCAGAGCCTCCTTTTAACAGCGTTTTCCGTACTATTAGGGAGAATGCAGATGTTAAAAACAAACCCAAGAGCAAGCAAAATCAGAAAACCAGTGAGTAAAGGGGATGGATGGTGATCTTGACCACCTTGGCATCTTTGTTGGAATGAAGGGATGGAGAGTAAGCATGGCAGGGTTGATACCACCTGCTAATAACATTTATGCCTGAAGACCAGGAACTGATTAGATAAATTTAATGTATTTTTTTCTGTCTTATGGGATAACAGCAGTCAAAAAAAAAAGTGGGAGGTGTGTGCACATATTCCTATGACAAGCAGATAAGAATGGCCCTATAAACGCACAGGGCTGTGCTGGCGGGAGCAGACCTCACATGTAGAAGTCCAAGCTAAGAAGATAACAATCACACTCCCGGGTACTCCCCTAGCAAACTAAAATTTAAGGTGGGAACTTTTCCTGGTAGGAAACTCCGCGCTTTTTACTATTTGTCTGTCGCTTTTTTTCAGTAAAAATAAGTTTCATAAAACTCATACTGAGGCATGTTGGAATTCCACACCCTAGTATTTTCCACTGGAGAAAAGTCCCGGTCTGGTCCAGCAGCTTATGATAGGGCTGCACTGGGACGTCTTGTTCTAGCGGTTAAGGTCAATGTGCAGTTCCCGAAACCCATCAATACCGTACATCCTCACCGTAACTGAACAGATAAGGGCACTAACCCCAAGGGACAAACTCAAGGTCGAGTCTGTCAGGTCCCATGGCCCTTTTTCTCAACTAGCTGTGAGTACCTGGAAACACACTAGAACCACCCGTCCCTCCTGGATTCCAGCTACACTGAGCTGTTTGGCTGTCCCCACATGTAACTTTTACTATTTTAATAGTGTCTTCCAAGGTCTGGCTTCAGAGGTTCATTTCTTTTTTCTCCACCGCTCTTCGAGTTATCCGCTCAGGTGTGTCCCGGCTGTTTCTGCATCTCCGCTTCGTTTAATACTGCAGAATTTCTTCCGGGGAGATCAGACTGGTCCCTAGAGAGCTCGAGTGCCCGCAATCCGACATGCTGTGGCCGCGGTGACCCCAGCACGGATCGCAGGCCCCTGCGGCCACTTCGTCGCGGGCGGCGCGTGGGTCCCTCCTGCCCCGGGTCCGCCGAGTGCCCATGCGCACTTACCCGCCAGGCCAGGTCCAAGTCGAAATCCCGGGCGCGCAGGAAGCGCAGCAGGAAGGCGTCGGTGAGCGGCTGCGGGCTCTGCGGGACGCCAGCCTCCTGTGCACGGCGCCGCAGCTCCGCCAGGCCCGGCTGCAGCAGCGGCGAGTGGTCCGGCAGCGCGTTAAGCTGCAGCGGGGTCTCCGGCCCCCGCCGCGTCTCTGCCATGCCCGCCGAGCCGCGGGCCGCTGCCAGGGCGGCGGGGAAAAGCGCGGGCCCCGCGCCACCCTCCGCCCCCAGACCATGGCCACCGCCCCGCGCACACCCACCCGGGCCACCCTGGCTCCCGTGCCCGGCGGGTGCAAGGGCCACGGCTGCCTCTTAAAGAAACCCTCGAGCTGTCCCGGGGTGCTCATTACATCTTTAGGGGTTCCCAGGGGTCACCCCAGCCTTTCCTGGATCGCGGAAGTCGCTAGTGTTCAGCCTTAAGAGAACGACGTCAAAAAGTTACTTGGGATGGGCTGCCTTTCTCATCCCTCCCTCCTTGCCTTTTCCACTTCTTTCCTTTTTGGAATCATGGAGCTATACAGAGCCTTAATAATACTTTAGTAATAACTTAATAACCCTGAGACCGACGCTCTAGGAGCCCTCCTCAAGCTCCTTTTTTTGTTTTGGCAGAATTCCAGCCTCCTCGGGCGTTCCAGACCAGATGTACTTTCTAAAGTGCTATTCAGCGAAGACACTGTGTAGTCTCAGTCTCAA